TATATATATATATATATATATATATATATATATATTTGTTTTATTTTGTTTTTGAAAAAATATTACATTTTTTCTATATTAAGCTAGTTTCCTTATGTAAATTTTTAATATCAAACTGGTTTCCATGTATATATGTATATATTCATTTTTTTCTACAATAAGCTGCTTTTTATATCTACATTATTGATAAACTAGTGTCATACAAATTATCTTTATTATTACACTTGTGTCCCATGCTTGTATGTTTAATGATAAAGGGGTTTTCCATATCTGCATCACAGTTGTAGGCTGTCTGAGAGGACGTGCTGTAATACTCGCCGCAGGATTATAGAAATCCAGTGAATAGTCCTCAGAGAGACTTGCATAATCTCATGTTCAGGCTGAATCCTGGAGCCCATCGGTCTACTGCAGCAAATCCAGGCCACTCCACGCATCACCCACCACGCCGGCTCATAAAGTGTATTTTTAGAGTTGTGGTCGTCATGGCGATGTAGGGATGTGTCGGGCTCAAGCTGTTATTGGATCAATAAATGGGGTTGAACATGGTCTCTGAGGTTGATTCCGAAGTGAAAAAGTCTAAGTAAACCTCGGATGAGAATATATGCAATAAAAAGGAGTTTTAAGAGTTCAGACATTAAGTAGAAAATATCTAAAGTTTAGAGCAAAAACAAAATAAGAGACAGAACCTGTACTTGTGTGTATACCTATAACCATTTGTTTTAAATAAAGAAAAAAAGGCAGACTACTACTTTGAAAACACTGTAATCCTACATTATTACAAACTCCTAAGTATCACTCCTTGTTTTCATTTTCATTTTTTTGTTTTTATGATCTTCAAAGAGTCTCTATGGAACCAAGAACCTAATTTTGAAAAGTAGCTTTGTGTTTTTTTTTTTGAGAAATATTTCTGTTTTAAAAATATGAGCTCCAGTTTCACTGCAGCATTAAGACTTATCATCCTCGTCTCTTATTTTCTGACCTGAGGTCTACCGGTGGTTCGACCCGAGTCGCAAACTGTGTCAAACAAAACTGGGTGTTTGCTATTGCACTTCAAAGTCAAACAGGAGCTGGTGGTATGACAGCTTCTATATTGTGCATAGCTGTGAAACTAGCAAGTTTGTTTGCAAACTGATCTGTGGCTAAGATCTAAATGACAGGAAATAGGAGCTTGCGTTTTGTCTTGGGAGGGTCATATCTATGCTAGAGCTCTGTTTTAGTTTTTATCTGGTGAATTGGGCAGATTATAATCCCAGCTTGGTGATTTGGATCGTTTTTTTATTCTGGTTTTACAGCAGATCATCTGACTTGAAGCTCAGGGTTTCAGAAAGTCAAACTGTCTTCTTCTTTAGAATCAGGTGTTTATGCTACAGGAAACCTTTTTACAGTTGATATGATCGCTTTATCGCTGATCTTGAATGCTCTGAAAACAGCCCAGCATGGAGGAGCCTTAAGATGTGTTGCAAAAAAAAATAAAAATGATTGTTGTTTTTATTTTAGATCCTCATCCTAGCTGGTTGGAAGATTAAATTATTTCCAAATCGTCATTCATGAACGCATCCTTTGTGTCCTGTCTTCATGCTTTCTATTTCTCAGTGAAGTTCAGGAAGTTGTTTCCCAGAACCAGTTATTGACTCTCCATTAGAATAATAGTGTCTAAAGGAGCTCTTTTTACTTTGGGTTTACGTTCATTGGATACACTTTTCATGCTTCACTGCCTAAAAATATCAGTTTTATAAATGATTTTGCTTTGATTGGATTAGAGGACTAAGTTTTATTTCTCTGAAATACCACTTGGTCATTAGTATTCAGGCCCTTCCCTCAGTATAGAGTAGATCCTCCCCTTTGTGTTCGTACACCCAAAAGTCTTCGTAGGAATGATGCAGCAAGATTTCCAACTCTGGATTTAGGGATCCTCCCCAGATCGTCTCCAGTTCTGTCAGGTTGGATGGTGAACGTTGCTTAGCAGCCTTTTTCAGGTCTTCCAGAGATGCTCAGCTGGATTTAGGTCAGCGTTCATTAAAGAAAACAGCTATTTGTAGGCTGTAAAGCATGAATAAAGGCTGGTTTATACTGAGAAACCAGGTTGTCTATCAGTTAACGCAGTTATGACCCCATCCCCTCCGCAGATACTCTGATGCACCTCTCCAAAATTGTAGGTAACCGCAGACAGGAGGCCTCTGATTGGTCAAATCTACATCCACTCTACACTATGCGTATTTGTTTAGTACCTTGTTTGGAGGCTTGTTTTGTTTGTATGACCGTCATTGTGGAAAATGACTCTTGAAGATGGACCAGCTGGAAGAGCAAGGTGCGCGAGAACGATTGGACACTTTTTCCACCTGGATCCCCAACCTTTTTCGCCCTCATGTCCCTCCGGTGGCGCACAAACTGTCCCCCACTTCCTCACAACCTCAGCCGTATCTAGACCCACAGCTAGTTCGTTAATATCTATATCTGCCACGAGCTCACTACAACACACTGCTGCGGGAGGATAACCAGCCCTTAATGCATGTAATAAACCTGGGGTTTTATTTGTTGGAGCTGCTTGGTTCCTGGTTAGGTGTATTAAATGATTTTTGTCATTATTTATTTCTTTACGACTAGAGTTTGGATTTGGTGCATCATTTCTTTTGCATTGTTTGTTGCTGAGTGACCCCTGACCTCAGGGTACGAGTTAGTAAAGATTAAACTTCTTTAGGTGTTTTAAAATTGGTGAAAGGCCTTTTTCCTGCAGGTTTAGGATCTTTCTGAATAAAGTCACTAAGAAGTCACGGATCATTTCTTTCATCCCAGGTATAGGTGAGGTGGTCGCCATCATGATCCCGGAGCCAAAAGGCCGTGAGGTGGTCTCCCTGCTGGAGCGCAACATCACGGTCACCATGACGATCACCATCGGGACCAGGAACCTGCAGAAGTATGTGAGCAGGACGTCGGTGGTGTTCGTATCCATCTCCTTCATCGTGCTGATGATCATCTCCCTGGCCTGGCTCGTCTTCTACTACATCCAGAGGTTCAGATACGCCAACGCACGGGACAGGAACCAGGTACAGACATCAGAGGCGCAGCTGTGGCCTTCAGATTCTGACTCTTCCAGGAGAGGAAGCAGATGTTTATTTATTTTATTTAAACATAATAATGAAGCTTAATTGTTGCTTTGATTTTTCATAGTTTTACCTTTTGTTTAATCCTGCACCTGGTTCTCATTCTGGTTTATTTTTTGGGTCTACAGCGTCGCCTTGGCGACGCAGCTAAGAAGGCCATCAGTAAACTCCAGGTCCGCACCATCAGGAAGGGCGACCAGGAAACGGAACCAGACTTTGACAACTGCGCCGTCTGCATAGAAGGCTACAAAATCAACGACGTGGTCCGCATCCTGCCCTGCAGGTGAGTATACCAACATTTTTCACTTCCAAAGAATGAAGCTTCTGCTGTGGGTTCTGCTGTGGGTGTCATATGACTGTGAGGAAATATGTCCTCTGTGTTTAGCTCATCGTTCAGAGCGCAGTGAGTTCTGGGGTTAAAGTCGTAGGGAAATCGTATTTAAATGTCAAATCATTCTGGCTTAAACATGTATATAAATATTCTCTTTATCTGACCATATAGACCCAAAAG